CACAAACGGAAAGCGACGACATTGAATTCATTGAATTACAATCAACATTTTCCAGGAATGGCTGGTTCTTTGAGTGTATCATGTGTGTCTCCTATCTCTGTGAGTGGCAAACTGGCCTCGATGGACAGAGTAGACATGTTCAACTAGGAGTGTCCCCAGTTTTTCAGCCCATAGATAAGGAGGCTAGAGAAAAGAATCTGGAGGAAATTCTTCTTTCATCACATCTTCCTGGAGAATGACAGAGTTGGAAGGGACCTTGGAGGTCTTCGAGTCCAACCCCCTGCTCAGGCAGGAAACCCTATGCCACTTCAGACAAATGGTTATCCAACCTCTTCTTTAAAAACTTCCAGTGCTGGAACATTCACAACTTCTGGAGGCAACTTCTGTTCCACTGATTAATTATTCTAACTGCCAGGAAATTTCTCCTCAGTTCTAGGTTGCTTCTCTCCTTGATTAGTTTCCACCCATTGCTTCTTGTTCTACCCTCAGAATAGTTTGATTCCCTCTTGTTTGTGGCTACCTCTGAAATACTGGAACACTTATATCTTGTCCTTCTTTTCAATGGAATGGAATAGAATGGAATAACAGAGTTGGAAGGGATTTTAGAGGTCTTCTAGTCCAACCCGCTACTTAGGCAGGAAACCCTACACCACTACAGACAAATGGTTATCCAATCTCTTCTTTAAAAATGTACTACTTCTGGAGACAAGTTGTTTCATTGGTTAATTGTTCTCACTGGGACAATTTCTCATTAGTTCTAGGTTGTTTCTCTCCTTGATTAGTTTCCACCCATTGCTTCTTGTCCTGCCGTCAGGTGCTTTGGAGAATAGCTTGACTCCCTCTTCTTTGTGGCAGCCCCTGAAATATTAGAATACTGCTATCATGTCACCCCTAATATCTAAATCGTATAAAAAGTACTGCCACATCTTTCCCTTTTTATGAGAGAAAGACCTTTCAGAAACTGACGAAAACATCACCTTTGCAGACATGATGGACGGCCATATCAATCTGATTGATAAATAAAAATAGTTAATACGTAAAAGTTTATACACATTTTTTAGCTGCAGCAGATGATAGGGGACAGAGCTGGTTTGTCAGTTCCTTCCTTTCTTGGTCTTCTTTTTACTTATTGAGTGTTTCAGTACTTCTGAAGATCATGGGTCCTTCATTTAAGGAATCCTAGAGACCCCTATCAATAAAATTATTTACTTCCTTCGCAAGGAGCACAGTGTGGGGAATTCTACATTATTGTGGCGTTTCTAAAATCAGCAAACTGTGGCTCTGGAGTGATAGACTATCTCTTGTCCTTTCTGTGCATTTGAGGAGGGGGCAGTCAGAAAAATTATCATTTTTACCCATGGCCAGCACAACCAAGATGGCTCTTCCAGGCTTTTGTGAAAGGCATTCTCATTCTGCTTTGCTTCACAGACAAGAGGTTGACCAAGGTTGATTGTTGACCAAGGTTGAATATTGGGCAAGGTTGATCAAAGTTGCCTTGACCAAAGTTGACTGTTGACCAAGGTTGACTCTTGACCAAGGTTGAATGTTGACCAAAGTTTGTTGGCCAAGATTGACTGTTGGCCAAAGTTGATTGTTATCCAAGATTGACTGTTGGCCAAAGTTGACTGTTAACCAAGGTTGACTGTTGACCAAGGTTGAATGTTGACCAAACTTGACTGTTGGCCAAGATTGACTGTTGGCCAAAGTTGACTATTGGCCAACGTCATAGGGCACATTTGGAGCTGATCCTTGGAGGGGGGGATTTTCCAACTCTTCTCTCTTTCCTTTCAGGAGAAGAAAACCAGCCTGGGTGGGTCTGCCCCGAAGAAGACAAGAAGAGCAAAGCCGCTTTCTGGTGTCCCATTTTGGTCTGTCACATCCCTGCCTTCTCCTCCAGGGCCCTCGACCTGCAGGTAAGGAAACCCGAAGTTGGCCCCCACCCTGTGCCAACTTCTGACCGTCTTTTCAAGAACTGGCATCATTTTTTACTTTCTAGAGGGAAAGAAGGAGAAGGAAAGTAGGAGAAGGAAGTAAGGAAAATTAAGGGGACAGAAAGAGAAGGAAGAAAGTAGAAGAAAGGAGGAACGTAGGAAGGAAGGCGAAGGTAGAATGTAGGAGAAGGAAGAAAGAAGATCGAGAGGAAAGAAGGGAGGAGAAGGGAGGAAAAAGAAGATTGAGGGAAAGGAAGGAAAGTAGGAGAAGGAAGGAAGAAGGAAAATTGAGCAAAAGGCAGGAACGTATGAAGGAAGGAAGGCGAAGGTAGAATGTAGGAGAAGGAAGGAAGAAGGAAGATCGAGAGGAAAGAAGGAAGGTAGAAAGGAGAAGGAAGGAAGAAGGAAAATTGAGGTGAAGGAAGGAGAAGGAAAGTAGGAGAAGGAAGGGAGAAGGAAAATTGAGCAAAAGGAAGGAATGTAGGAAGGAAGGAAGGCAAAGGGAGAATGTAGAAGAAGGAAGATCAGAAGGAAGATCAGAAGGAAGGAAGGAAGGAAGGAAGGAAGGAAGGAAGGAAGGAAGGAAGGAAGGAAGGAAGGAAGG